TTTATTTGATGCAATTTCAGGTACATAATTTACATGGTGTAAAACTGAAAGTAAACAGTAAAAGTAAACCAAACCAAACAATAAAAACTAGACTTACAATAAAAACTAAACTTAACTACATAAAACTGTAAAATAAACTGAACAATAAAAACTAAACTTAACTATATAAAACTGTAAAATAAACTTAACAATATAAACTTAACTGCATAACAATAAGAACTAAACTTTACAAAACTGTAAACTAAACATAACAACAAAAACTAGACTTTACAAAACTGTATACTAAACTAATCAATAAAAACTAAACTAAACTTAACAAAACTGTAAACTAAACAGAACAATAAAAACTAGACTTTACAAAACTGTATACTAAACATAACAATAAAAACTAAACTTTACAAAACTGTGAACTAAACTAAAAAAATCTAAAAAAAAACTTTATAAAATTTGCTAATATATTTTCATGATAAAAATACTGCTGCACAAAACACAAGGGACACAAAAGTTGTTTAAAGTTTAAACTTTGATCAAATCTAAAGAATTTACTTAAAGGGACTGTAAGCGTTATTTATTGTGACCATCTATTTAAAGATGAAATACCCGATTCACAAACGGTCCCTTGAAACTTTTTTAGAATAAATAATGCGGAATTGTGTTTTTTTTTTAAATTGTTCAATTCTGATATTTCAAATATTGTTTTTCTACAGTAGAAATGCACAAGTCACGTTCAAAGTGAACCCACAAAAATCAGTTTTTAAAATTAAAAATATTAATATATAATTAATAAATCATACTCAGTCCGACAATGCTTTTAAGAGTTTCTTTGAGAGTCGGGCATGGCCATCTTTGCGTGGAGGGTGACTTGAAATCGCGCTTACAGTCCCTTTAAAGCTACATATATTAAAATATCTATACCAAAATTTGCTCAAATGTTGAAAGAGGGAAAGAAGTCACATTTGTCTATGCCAGATCTCACGCTCACGGTGATTCAAAGGAGGCCGCATAAATCGGTGATATTTTATTTCTAAAATTTAAAAATAAAAAAAGTGTTTCATAGTTATACGAGGTATGTTCAATAAGTTTTGAGATTTTTTTTAAAGGTGCTTCTAGACGTCTCAGTTCTTTAAAAATATTTTTTAAAGTTCACTATATTTTTACTGGTTCAATTTTCTGACCAGCTGATGTCGATCAGATATTATGTTGGACGCAATTATAGCTTTCTCACTGATCCCGTTAACCTTGCTTGTCACAGCCTAAATATCTTATCTACAGACTTAAACTTTATCCATTTAATCGTGCTCTAGAGGTTAAAAAGTCAAATGAAACTTTATTATAGAAAGGGCCCTTGAAGGTTTTTATATTTGTAATCTACATTTCCTAGGACCTCTGAGGAGCAGATGTTGTCCAAATCTTTGTAATTTTACAAATCTTGCTTTGCAACTTTGTTTGCAGCACCATAGCAGATGTCCAACTCATCAAAAACCATCAAATAAGAAGCCTTGCGAATTTGGTTTGAGAAACTTTTCATTGTTTGTGGGGTTTTTGTGGATTTTTTTCTGCTCAGACATTTCCTCGTTCTGCCAACACTCTTCATTACACTGTTTCTCTTTTAGTCCACTTGTAGACTAGTGCCTTGTCCATATTATCCTCTAATGCATTTTGGATCATATCAAAGATGTCTGCTTTATATTTGGAAAATTTTAGGCACGAATATTTTGTCCTCTTTCCCCATGGTTGGTATTTAAAACATTCCCGTGCTGTGACAACGGATCTAAACAATCTCCGGGAAAAGGCGGATTCCATAGAAATAAAAAGTTTGTTGAATTTAGTCCGTTTAAAGAAGACAACCGGGAGGAATACCGTGAGCTTTAAAAGAAAAATTACAGGCCTGAGATGTCTGGAAATACCTTTAACATTGTTTTCACAAAACTTTTTTTAATATTCCTCGTAAAATATACATCATATCTAGGACTAAAAAATGTATAATAAGTTTTTTTTGTATGGAGGTGAAATAAGATGATTTATAATTTCATTTTATGCATTATATCAAACTTTATCAACTTTTTAATAAATTCCAAATTATTCAAGAATAACTTTTTCATTCATTCGTATTTTTACATTTTAGCATGTCTAATGTCCTGTAGACCTTAGACATTTCAATCTATGCCTTTTATTATATCAAATAATCTAAATTTAAAATATCAAAGGTTTACATCATTTGGTTGTAGAGATATAGTTATTTGAAGATTGGGATTTGTGGCAAAGACTCAATTCCTTTGTCTCAATTATTTTTTTACTTTAAAAACTCAAATGGGCTATTTACGTGTGTATTCAAGTGACCTTTCATTTATAGAGTGGCATGTAGGATTCACAATGGCACCCTGAAAAGCTTTGCCTGACCAAGAAGGAATGAAATATCTATGATTGCTCTCCAAAATATTGGCTTTTTCAATGATGTTTTCTTTGCAAAAGTGACTTACGGACGTCTTGCTGTAGGAACAATTTAGAAAATTTTGAGAAATAAACACTTTTCAAGCTTGAAAGACGACAATATATTTCCCATTATTAATCAGATACAGGTGTGAATCGGTCATGACCTTCTTAAGATGGCAGATCACTTGAAATTACAACAATGGTTCATTGAGTCCATTTAAGATATCAAAATGAATCTTTAAGCAATCGTATGTATTGTGTATTCTATGTTGTTTCAAAACAAGATCATGGAGAATATCATTATTCAGTGAAACTTATGTCGTATGAATTGAAAAATTAATGTATTGAGAATATAATAGTTAATGACGATACAAAATAAAACTGCATAAATATATTAAGAGTTTGATAAGAATAGTTTCCTATTTCAGTTTAGTGAAATCTCTAAGAAACCTACATATATGTATATACAGGGCGAATAAAAAGAGTAACATAATTCATTCAAAACGAAAAATTTCGTTCAATTCTTATACATTGTAACTTTATAGGCTACGTGTTTTTGACATTTTTTTAAAACGTATATCTTCTGAATCTCCCTAGGGGGGGGGGGATTAATTTCTGATTAATTTGGTGCTGTTCCGGTTTTCCCTATATATTTTGTGTATGTGTACTGTAAAAAGACGGTCCGGTACTTGAGCAAAAAAAACCACAAAACTGAGCTATAATCAAAATTAACCCGACCCGGGGTTTTATTCAACTAAGATGTGCGATCATATTCTTTAAAAAAACTTTAACTCGAGTTTTTTCGAACTTTCTCGTCTCTTCGAAAACTGAAAAGTACTGTAGACGTAATTTCAAATGACACTCGCATGAGTGGTTTGGGAGTCAAATACAGGTTTAACGGTTACCATAGTGAACCGAACATGAGTGGTTTGGGAGTCAAATACAGGTTTAATGGTTACCGTAGTGAACCGAACATGAGTGGTTTGGGAGTCAAATAGAGGTTTAACGGTTACCGTAGGGAACCGAACATGAGTGGTTTGGGAGTCAAATAGAGGTTTAACGGTTGGGAGTCAAATAGAGGTTTAATGGTTACCGTAGGGAACCGAACATGAGTGGTTTGGGAGTCAAATAGAGGTTTAACGGTTACGTTGGGAACCGAACATGAGTGGTTTGGGAGTCAAATACAGGTTTAACGGTTACCATAGTGAACCGAACATGAGTGGTTTGGGAGTCAAATACAGGTTTAACGGTTACCGTAGGGAACCGAACATCGAGTGGTTTGGGAGTCAAATAGAGGTTTAACGGTTACCGTAGTGAACCGAACACGTCAGTCTTATATTGAAGGGTAAATCATAGATGTTTTAAAACAGCTGTACTGTACCGAGAAAAACGTTTTTGAAAAAATGTTTAGATTTCCTAAATTAATAGGTTAAAATCTTTTAGCTCTAAAGAGGCAAAACCAGCTCTTTTACTATTGGAATGTTCGCGAAAACCAAAAAGAAATTGACTTTTGAGTTTTCGCTACCAACTCTGGTTTTCTAATCCAAATATCTTTGAATCCAATGTCATTGAGCTTAGATTTTTTAAACTATTAATTCTCTTAGATCAAATAATCTAAGTTTGAAATATTAACAGTTTAAACCATCAAGCTGCAGAGATATTGGGATTTATCGACGTGTTTTCTCATTTGTGATTACAGTATGTAGCTTTACTGTATTCAATTGAACTAAAATTCTATTTTCCCGCCAGGATTAGTGCAAATGAACATTTCCAGCAAAAAATTTGTTCAAACGGACAAATATTTTTTGCACTAAAATATGTTCATTTTTACTAATTAGGGTATAAATGTGAAAAATGGTGAAGTTTTAGATTTTACTAATTTACGCATTTTTACTAAAATATGTTCATATTTCATAAAATTATACGCCTAGATATGTACATAAATATAGTCACCAATTATATACCTAGATATGTACATAAATATAGTCACCAATTATATGTCTAGATGTGTACATAGATATAGTCACCAATTATACGCTTAGATATGTACATTAATACTGTCACCAATTATATACCTAGATATGTACATAAACATATTCACCAATTATACGCCTAGATGTGTACATAGATATAGTCACCAATTGTACAATTAGATATGTACATAAATATAGTCACCAATTATACGCTTAGATATGTACATAAATATAGTCACCAATTATATACCTAGATATTTGCATAAATATAGTCACCAATTATACACCTAGAAATGTTCATAAATGTTGTCACCAATTATAAAACTAGATATGTACATAAATATAGTCACCAATTATACACCTAGAAATGTACATAAATATTGTCAACAATTATACACCTAAATATGTACATAAATATAGTGACCAATTATATACCTAGATATGTACATAAATATAGTCACCAATTTTACACCTAGATATGTACATAAACATAGTCACCAATTATACACCTAGATATGTACATAACCTTGAAACTGCTTGAATCTGATTTAAAGAATTTAAGAAATGCCGGATCTAAGTTTACAAATATTTTAGAGGTTGGTGTGAGAGAGACCTCAAGCAGCTACACCTCTACACCGGTCAGTCTGATCTATCTCTATACAGTGTGTACATCGCAATATAAAATACACATGTATCCATATATATATATTTATACATGTTTCAGGGGTGTTTATTTTGGAAATACTTTGTCCAGCCAGATTAACCTTTACTATAGTTTTCATGATAATTGTTTTTCTGAAATATTTTATCGGCAATCAAGATAAAATTTAGAAAATAGGTTTTCAGAATCTTTATTCAGTTAAAAAATTTGTTTGGGGGGGGGGGGCAAAAAATATGTAAAAATTTAACAAATATCTCGATTCATTAATGAATATTTTGAGAATAAACTTTTTTGTTTTTGTGTCTAAATCCTGGATGTTGAGTCTCTAGTTTCCACTTAGAACAGTTCTATTGGAAAACTTTGCCATCCTTCAGTTCTGAAAGTTTTTCATACAGAGCAACAGTTAGATCTTTTATAATAAATATATCATACTTTTTACATAAATATAAATATAAAGTTCCATACAAGCAAATATTTGTATGTGAGCCCATATAGTTTCCTAAAATTAAGATCTAGCAATAGATTCCTTAGCTTTCAGGAATCTTTATTCTGAATTATGTATTTTTTTAATGTTTTTTTTTCAAATTTCAATTTTTTAACAAAAAGTCTAAAGTAATTATCTAGATGTTAATCAATTATTACACTAAAGTATTGATTGATCTTGCTAAAATAGAAATAAAAACAATTGAAATATTTATGAAATATTTATATTAGCTGAATCTTTTTTAAGAAAGCACATAGTTGTACATTTAGAGCTTGCTGTCTGTCAGCTTTTTTTCGAATTTAGCAATCAATCATTTCAAAGGAACTGATCTCTTGCAACATATTCAAATTTTTGAATCTCTATATATTTGCAACCTGATGGTAAAAACTATGATATTTTAAATATCAAAGGTCTGCGACATCGGGTTGCAAAATTAGAGTTTGTTTCAAAAATTGATTTAATTTATTTTGTGGATATTGAGATCTTCAGTGTTGTTTATTAGTGATGAAAGATATTCACAGATTTTTCATAGATTTTCTAGAATTATTATTGAAAAGACGACATTTGAAGAATTTGAAGAAATCTGCGAATAAATTCAAAGAAGATAAGAAGTTCAATATAATAATAAAAATGAAATAATCGATTTTAGCATTGATTTATTGACAAATTTCTTTTGAGAAATATGTTCCTAACCATCTAATTAGATTACTGTATAATTTTTACTTTATTTTTCGTTGTCGTTATTTAATAATTAAAAAAAAAATAATTCTGAAAACGTATCCACCCCCAAAGTAGGAGTTTTGAACGTTTGCGCTCAAACTCAGGATTTACAGATCTTTAAAAAATTTTATATGTCTCAAATGAATCCGAAAGAAGTTTTCCACAACACTGCATATTAAGTTCAACTACCTTACATAGCCGGTCACTCCCTTTAAACTCAGATTATTTGATCTAACATAGTTCGAAATAACAAAGATCTTCGATATCAGGTTGCAAAAATTAGGGGCGTTTACATGGAAGGGGTGTCTTGAAGGATGAGCCCCCCTCCATTAAAACATTTCGGGAGACTAAAGTAATGACCTCTAAATTTTTAACCTAACCTTGTCTACATGCTTCAGATGTACCTGACCACTTGGGTTCAAGCTCAGTTGACCCATACAAACCTTAAACAATGATCTGATATTGTCAAGTTTTCCACCAGCTGTTAGTGCTGATAGTGACGAGCTAGCGTTAATCTAGAAGAAAACTGATGTGTTGACAATAAGTTAATATTGTGAACAAAAGTTGAACCCAAACCCAGAAACCATATCGTAAAATATCTTGTATAAAGAACCCGTGCGTAAAACCTAGACCTGGAGCTTGAGATTGAACTGTACCCGGATATTTGAACCTGAACCTGTCAAAGGAAATCAGAATCTGAAGAACTGTGAACAATTTCTAATCAAAGATCTGATTACACAAAAGGTAAAATCACAGGGTGTACAAAGTAAAAAGAAAAACCACATGGGGGAATGCACTTTGCTACGAAAATACAAACTTTGTAGTTGGATTCTGAAATGGTCTTGAATCTTAATCTTTTTCTGACTTTTGCGGTGTGCAATACATGTATAATAACCAGAAAACTCCGGAATAGGAAGTCGACTTTTATACTCAAATATAGACTTTAAATGAACATGAACATGAGGCACAGCATATGTGCAGTGTAAACAGACCATATTCAATCATTTACTCTCATAAAAATTAAAACCAAAGGAAAGTTAAACTTTTGTGTATTATACTCATAATCCCAATCGCTTGATCTCGCTATCTACCATGGGCACTTTTAAGCTGCATCAACAAGCTTTAATATTAGCGGGATTTAATGAAAAATGTGTCACAACAAAAAACATTTTTTTAAAGGATTGTTTATTTTTCGCCATTTCATGCGAGGCAAGCACATATTCTCTTCAGAAACATTTTATTTATAATTCGGATGAAACTTCAAACGACCAATTAAATGACAGGAAATATTTTAACCAATCACAAAACATTTTTAACATAACATTTCAAATAAATGTTAAAAAAAAATTCCAACCGTGATTATATACTAATTAAAACATATTTCTCACTAGATAAGATTTATTGATAAAAAGTTATGAATTGATGAAGATATTATTATTACATCTTATTATCATATATTTTTTAGAAAATGAAAATTCATAGAAAAATATTTACTTTCGATATTCAAGTTTTTCAAATTCATCACATAAATTTTACTAGAAGGGGATCGTACATTTGGCGTACAGTTGCCTCATATAGTTTGTATTTGTACTGTACTGCTTGCCCTGGCTAGCTGAGATTCGGCCCGGTACATAAAATGAACTGGAATGTACAGCGGTCATGTCTATCTAGTTTTAATTTTACCGAACACTCCCTTTAATACTTGAAGATTGAAAACACTCCCTTTAATACTTGAAGATTGAAAACACTCCCTTTTAATACTTGAAGATTGAAAACACTCCCTTTAATACTTGAAGATTGAAAAAGTAAATGTTTTTAATCTTGTATTCCCTGCAGTAGACAGCTTAGCTTTGATCTCAAATTTTCTTTACAGTTCTTCATTGATTTGCTAACTAAACTTTTACACGGGAAAGTTAAAAAAAGTATTTTGAACTAGAGGCTTGAAATTAAGTGTTTTTACATTTTTGTGTGAATGTTCCTATTCCTTTTCAGATTTTTGCACTATTTGGTCTAAATTGTGCAAATATTAACTTAAAAATCTGGAAAATGTTTAAATGTTTCGAACTTTAAACAGGATTTGAAGTGTACAGTGTGCACACAATATTTCGCAAATTTCTATTTTAATTTTCCCCCAAGGAAACTTTAGGAAAGGGAAGTTTTTTAAATGTGTGTGTATCTAAATCTTGTTCAGAATCTAAAGTAAAATTTTTTAAACAAATTCTTTTAAAAAAAATAAAACCAAAGAATATTAATTTAACCTTGAATATTTGTTTCGTAACACTACACTAATATCTACAATTGACAAAAGATTTCATATATAATTCCTAAAAAACGTAATTCTTTGTAAAAACAATACTGCAAGAAAATGTCCGAAAAAAAATAAATGGAAAATATTTTCAAACATTTTTGAAATGTTTTCAATTCATGTTTGACAGCTCAATAGATTTGTGCACTTGTTGTTTCACATTAAGTGCAGAAAAAAAAAATTTTATTATATTTGTTTTGACATAATAACAGACCCTTTTTGTGTGGGAACTCACATGTCCTTGGGTGATCTGAATTCAAAAAATGTTCCCACAAAAATATCCCTTTTATCTTGAATTCGGCCAATATCCCTTTATTCTAGAATTTGGCCAATATCCCTTTATTCTAGAATTTGGCCAGTAAAACCGAGAATTTTTTCGTCTTAACTATAGACAAAGCTATAATAAATAAATAAAACCTTAAAAATTCTAAAAAAGTTACTTCTTGTGAATACAGGGTTTTGATACAGATAAAGGGACTGTTCACGGAATTTTAATTTATGTCCAATTCTAAACGGTCACGGATAGCCGTAGTACATTTGAATTTCCGAGCCGGGTCAACCTTTTCGGTCCCAGATTGTACTCTGTCGCCCGGATATCGGGTAAATGAAGCAGACACTCAATAGGACTAGCGGGTGCAACAAGGTTGACGCGGTCAGACTTTAGGTTGAATTTACTTTTACTGAAGGGTCAGAGGTGCATGCGGTACCCTTTACACCGTTGTCTGCTTAGTGATAAATGAGATATTCTGAGTTATCTATCTGAAAAATGATTATTTTTTATTGTGGTTTCTGTAAAGTTACTCCCAGATTTAATGAATTGACAGAATTTAACACTTTTTTCAACACAGAAGAAATCTTCTCATTGTTAATACTAATTATCCTGAGTTGAAAACTTTAGAATGGTGGATATTGAGATTAATGCTTGATCTTCTCTTTTCTTTAATATCGAGACTAACCTAATCTTGTACTTGTATCCTAAAAAGTGTAAAAAATTCAACCAATCAGAGTCGCATATATGAAGCCGATAAATTTGAAATTTTGCGCGCCATTTAAGATTATATAGAGAAACGGGAGGGACTCTCTAATTTAGAAAAACCCGTTTTTTGATTTTTCTCTACTATATCCAAGCAAGTACGGTTTAAGAAGAAAATCAAAAGTGTGTCCATTGGATACTCAGATTAAGTTATCGGGACTTAGGATGTCTCATTCTAAAGTTTTCAGCTCCGGGTACTGTTGTGAATTGGAAATGTCCCTCTGTAAATGAAAGGTTACTTGAAACTACGTCTACAGTTCCTTTAATCAAAGTTTGCGGCTTGCGCATACAATAATATAGTTTACTGTGCCTTCAATTCAAAGACCATGAAATTGATAATTATACAGTATATATATACAATATACATACAATATACATACAGTATACATAAACAATATACATACAATATACATACAATATACATATACAATATACATACAATATATCACAATTCACTAGCTTTCTATCTCCGGTTCGGTTACTGTTAATATTTAAAATGTAGATCTATCTATCCAAGGTTATAATGCAAGGAAAGTTATTTCAGAGGTGTACACATATTTTGTACTGCAGTGTACTCTGGGCGGTAATGTAAACACAAGACGTACGCCCCAGTCTGAGATGGGATCCATCTTTCACATAAAAATCAATGAAATATTCTGGTCATAGAAAACTATTATGTGAATTATCAAAATTATCAAAATTATCAATGCTTTTATCCTCCTCGGATACTAAACGAACACTGGTGCGTCCATTCCTGTGTACAAATTCCGCCCAGAGAGAACTGGTTTCAATATGTACGCAGAGTATACGCAACTGCAATTAACTTTCCTTGCAGCATAACCTTGTATCTATCTATCAATCTTTCTATCTATCTATATTTACTTTTGCTCTTTTTTTCAAATTTGCTTCTATAGGACCGAATAAATTAAATGCCAGGATTTTTTTGTTTTGTCATTATTTTGCATTCATTCATTTAAAGTGAAACTAAAGCATGTATTATTAAAATCTTCATGTTTTCAACTTGTCTGTTTTCAATAATAACTCTTAATGAAGAGCTGTTAATAAAAGCATAAATTTTGTTCCTTGATGTCTAGTTTGCAGTGATTTAACCTTACCCACATTATCTTTATATAGAATTCCGTTAGTTTCATAATTTTTAAATTAATCATAAAGTTTTGAAAGAAGAAAAGTTTCCGGAAAATACTGATAAAATCTTTCTTTTACATGGTTTAACACCCACACTTAGTACACAGTACACTCTACACAGTACACAGTACACAGTACACAGTACACAGTACACAGTACACAATACACAGTACACAGTACACAGTACACAATACACAGTGCACAGTACAAAATACACAGTACACAGTACACAGTACACAGTACACAGTACACAATACACAATACACAGTACACAGTACACAGTACACAGTACACAGTACACAGTACACGGTACACGGTACACAGTACACATTACACCGTACACCGTACATTATATACAATTATATTATAGAAAAGTAAACAGTTCTTTAACAAAACCATAAAACAGGATATTACAAAAACTAAATTTTCCCTTGAAAATTTAAAATTGACTTGCACATTTCTTGTTTTAGAAACATGGCATAAATTGTCAGAATTAAAAACATTCCACAATATTGATCAGTTAAAGGTTAAAAGGTGTTGAAAATGATATGTTTGCGATCCCTTTAAAGTACATTTCTCAAAATAAATGTGTTTTCATATTTAACAATAATTTATCTAAGCTTAATATTTTCAGTGGTTTTTCATTTATAGAATATGATAATCAATTTTTAAAGGAGAAACCAAAAGTTTAAAATAATCAAATTTCAGCAAGAAAAAAAATATCTTATTCATAATATGATCATTAAGATGTTTAAACGGTTCCGTTGTGAACCGGACATGCTACTCTAGAAATGGCGGTCATTTTTAAGTTGTTTGGCAATAAAGTTTTTATAAGATTTAGCTCGCACTCAGAATTCAGTCATTTATTCTTAAAACAGATTATTAGTGCCAAAAATATTGCTTTTAAGTTTTAAAAATCGAATAGACCTAATTTATGAAAGAAATGAAAAAAAAAATAATCAAATCATTTTTAGGTTTACGGCTGATATTCCTGAAATCCTAAACCTGCCAGTACACTACAAACAACAACATGGCTGGGCGTAAGGTAAACAAGAAAATATATTATTAATATGAGGATTTTAAGTGTCCGTTGATATGAAGATCGACGACATTTCCTGTACATTGGAGTGCATCCAGAGTATCTAAACTTAACCCTATTCCGGCGGAGGGGGGGGGGTCCCAGGGCCTCCCAGCGTTTTTGGAGATAGTATTGGTCTGAGGCTGTTCAAATTATTTAATTTTTTTAATTAATATTCCTCTCACTAGCCACTCAAATCGGGGCTTTTATACCTACTGCCTGAGTCCTCAGGAATACTGCCTGAATGCCTTATTTTGCCTTTACCGACTAAATCGACTTTTTCGACTTTTTGTAGCTCTTTGGAAAGCCATGAAAAAAAGGAAGCAGATTGCATAATTTTTGCGACTAAATTTTACATAGTTTTATGCAGGGATGCCTCTAAAGAGAAATTGATTTTCAGTTTTTCTTAAATACAAAATGAGTTTTTGAAAATTTTGCAAATATTTTTGCATATTTGAATTCGCCGTGGCTAGGACTTTTCAAAAATGTATAATTTATCATATCTCGCGTACTTTTTTATTTTGCACATTTTTTGTCTAAAACTTAATATTGCATTAACATTTAAAATTTTGTAAAGCTATTTTTTGCAGATTATTAAAGTAGAGCCCAAGGGCTTTCCCAAAATGTATCAAATGTTGTAGATTTGTTTCACAATAAGGAAATAGAGGGGGGGGGGTCCCCGGTCTCTGGGCCCCCAACTATTTTGGGGTAAACCAGACGTCAGCCTGAATAAGGTTAAGACACAACCTTGGGCGTAAAAAGAGAGGGCACAACCCCATTGAAATGAATATTTTAGATGAATAAAAACAAAATATCCCTGCGGTGCCTCTTAAACGTTAGTTCCTTTCAATTAGAAATTTTTTTTTCATCGAAAATTCGAAATTTCCAAGAGGATATGTCTTGTCAGGGGCACGGACGATTGTAATATTTCAACTATTCACTCTAAACCTCCTCCATTCCCCCCTTCCCTTCTGGAAAATATCATAACCCGCCCCTGTTAGGATTTTCCTTGTCTACCGAATAATTTGGTATTTTGGCACTCCCTTTTGTCTCCTATAATAATCACAAGTTTTTCTACAAACAAAAAGATTTGTTATGTATGCCTGGCATGAAGATTAGACAGTGATAAATAACAATGGTTTTCCGTTATATTGGATTTGGTCAAGGAAACTAAAAATAAGGAAAAAACGAGATGAGGACGTCCGAAAAAAATTGTCATTGGTTTTGTTTTTATTGGATTTGGTCAAGGAAACTAAAAAATTAGGAATTTAAAGACGAATTGTGGAGTTCCGAAAAAGTCTAAATGGTTTTCTGTTATATCGGATATGGTCAAGGTAACTAAATATATGAAAAATTTACAAGTTCCGAACTTTTTTCGGACGAACTGCGGATTTCCGAAAAATCAATGGTTTCTTTTTTTATTTGATTTGGCCAAGGAAACTAAATATTCGGAAAAGTATGTGTTAGCTATTTTTAAAAATGTGTTAGAAGTGACTAAACTGTTACTAATTATATTTTATTTCACATTAATAGTATAATGTTTCATTTCTACACTTACAGAAGAAATCCTAATGTTGTGATCGAGTTGTTTACTATTTAAATTAACAAAATTAGTTGGAAAACTCTGGGCCAAGTTCAAATATGCGAGGTTCATTTATTCCTCTTAATGATTGGTGTTTAATTCCTTAATTTGTTCTATTGGTCGTCATCATCCGCAAATACAGAAGAAACCCGGTTCCTATGGTTCCTATGGTTCCTATGGTTCCTATGGTTCCTATGGTTCCTTTGGTTCCTATGGTTCCTATGGTTCATATGGTTCCTATGGTTCCTATGGTTCCTATGGTTCCTATGGTTCCTATGGTTCCTATGGTTCCTTGGTGAAATAATACTTTTAGGAACCTCTAAACAAGATGAGGAATTATCAATCATTGTTATCAAATACTTTGTGAGAAAAGTCTTCCATAGTGACTGAGAACACATTAATTTTCTAAAGCTAAAAACAGTTCTGTTCCAACTAGTACTTGTCGAAAGTTCTCCTATTCTGGTATGAATATTGAATATTAACTATTCTATATAATTATTGTTTTTGACAATGTGGTCATTACAATTATTGTCAAGTTTCCCGGCATTTTTATCTTACATACGTACATATTTACTTAGTACAATTTACACAGTACAATGTACTCAGAACAATGTACACAGTGCAATGTACACAGTGCAATGTACACAGTGCAATGCACACAGTTGAATGCACACAGTGCAATGCACACAGTGCAATGCACACAGTGCAATGCACACAGTGCAATGCACACAGTGCAATGCACACAGTGCAATGCACACAGTGCAATGCACACAGTACAATGCACACAGTACAATGCACACAGTACAATGTACATGCAATGAAGATTGGAACTTATTTCCAAATAATAAATGGGAATTAAGTTAGGAGTAGTTTAACGCCTTTGATTACTGATTAAAAGCTGAAAACAAAAATTGGTCTTATGGGCTTTTCGAAATGGGAACCCACTTTAATGACTTAGTCTGAAGAACTAAAATTACGGACTTTGGTTCTTTTCTATCATTTTTCGTACCACTTTATGACGGAAAAATATGGTGTTTCCCTCATTACTATAATTGGTAAATATATAAGTATATTTTCCTTTCTTTTTGGACTGAAAACCCTAGTTTCATTTTCCTGGAAGCTGATCTAAAAATTGGTGAGCAATGCCGGAGGCTCAAAGTGCATATTTATTCTAGATATTGGATTATCTAACATTTTCTACTCAAGCAATTATTCTTTTTTTCGTGTATTTAAAGCTTAATCTAAACTTTAAACTCTTAGAACATGATATTTATAAATATTTAAGATTTTTCCCACTGATTTGTTTTTAAAAGATTGAGAAGATTTGCGAATGTTTGTTTTTTCAAAAATATTATTTAAAAAATTATTTGGATTTAAAAAACAATTAAAACATATTTTGGAACTGTAGCATCCTGTAAAAACATATTTTGGAACTGAAGCATCCTGTAAAATCATATTTTGGAACTTTAGCAACCTGTAAAAACATATTTTGGAACTACAGCATCCTGTAAAAAGCCTACTTTGAAGCAAATTGTAAAATAATTTTGTTTAGGATTTCACTAACCTTCAGAATATTATAAAATATCCTAATCCCCCCTACAGGGGCATCCCCCCCCCCTTCATCCTAAAATTTTGCAATTTGCAAGGTTTCAGTTTGTTTTTGCAAACTGATGTTTTAAACAGATGTTGATATAACATAAATCTGTGAAGAGATTCAAGAGCCTTAAAAACTCATCAAAATTACATGTTTCAAAGGAATTGATTGACTTATTGATTTCACATAAAAAAGCATACAAGTACAGGGTTACCTACATAGGATAAGACTTCAGAGACGACTGTTCGGAATTTTTACTGTCTGATTCATTACATTCATTATTCCCAGCAACTTTAAACTTCTTTCTTTCTTTGTCAAAACATTTGCAAGCCATTAAAAGACTGTATTAAAGATAGAAAACTTTAATTGAATTATTAATTAAAATTTTTATGTCGTCTTCACAGCCCCATTCTTTGCATGTGGTAACCCTTTATAAAACAATCTAGATAAAATGAGATTTATACAGATTGTTAAAATTATTCCTATTCCTTATGCCATACATTAAGTTGTAAGAAATATTGAATGGCCTAAAGCATAGTAAATTCATGCCATGTNCCCCCCGCTTTCACTATATGAAATCAGCAAAGAAAACCCCCCTTTTCACACTGTACGTACAATGTACATAAATCCCAAACTGGTTTTAATTATTGTGTGCACTGTGTACAGTCAGTAGTAAACAAATCTTTGATAGAGATTGTTTATTAGATTCTACTCTCAAAACAATTATTAAAAATATCTATTAAAAAGTTGTTAGTGAAAAGTTTTTAGAATTTGTTCAAACGTAATCAATATTTTTACTAAGTGAAAATAATAAAAATGAAGTATCATACTTTACAATGTGACTGTGAGGTAAAAATAATTTATGAAACGTGTCAATCTATTTATTTTTACTGGAACAATAATTAGCTTAAGCAATTGCCAAATAGACCTGCAAGAAAACGCGAAAAATTAGCCTTCATATGGATCCAGGGGGGCGGCAGAACCTTTGCACCCCNGACAAAATCTACGTATCCTTAAGATTGCGGTATCATTAATCATAATAATAAAAATTTAATTTAATTTTCAGTGATGTATAGAAAGGTCCGTACAAAACTTAAAATGGGTTAAAAAGTGAACAAATCTTTCGAAAAATTCACCCAATTTTCAGAAAGTCATTATATGATGATTGAAATACGAGAACCGAAGTGGGTCAAAAAAGTTACGAAATGTAGTTGGACCAACGAGTATGGAATATAAGGTAGAAGGAATCGACCTGGCCCGCCCTACCGTATACATGCTTTGCAGACGGTACTCCTGACTCTATTTGAATAAGAGATATTTGTCTGATGTACAAATACCGCGTACATGTATTCAGAATTTAGGTTTTCGTCGCATTCATTAACAGTGAAAAAGTAGGCTTAATAATGCAAAATAAACACATTTTGTTTGGATGAAAATTATTGGCAATAGAAAGGGGTTTTTTAATGATAAAAAATCGTTTTTGTTAAATATTGTAAAGTAAAAAACAACAATTAAAAAACGACCTTGAATTTTTTTTCAAATGGTAGGTTGGGCTAGGTCGATTCCTTCTCCCTTTCATTCCATATTCTATACGATCCTTGAGTAGGATCAAAAATAGATATTAATTATGGCATTACTCCCGAGTCCTGACTACTGAGGGATAAAGTGAGGGGATGCGTAAAAATTTATAAGCCATAATAGACCTAAACTATATGAATAAAAACTAGTAGTATAAAATCAAATAAAATGTATGTTTAGGTGGAACGAATGAGCCCTGACCGTCAAATAACCGCCCAGGATATTGATTGTCTTAAGGAAATAAATAAAAAAGTGAAATTTATAAAAAAAAATCGTTCATGGTGCCGGAGGGGGTGGCTTCCCTCTGAAAAAATGGGATACAACTTTTTCACAATGAATTAAAAAATACTCCATAGAAACTGTGGTCGTGTATTTCACGTACTTTGGGCGACGTTATGTTGGCCGCTAGATGTCTCGTGCTAAATTCTTATCTGATAGATAGATATTTCTCCGTACATTTCACGAACAATATAGTACACGTCAAGTTGTCGACCATTGTAGTTTATGGAAGTTTCAGGACATTTCAGGATTATGACATTATATTTTTCAATTGAATAATTTTACGGTGGTTGCACTAATAAAATTGTCATTATCTAACTTTTGCTTATTTTTTAAAATGTTATTTATACTTTTTATTTTCTGAACCTGCAGGAGGCGTTTGCTCTGTTTGACTGCGACAGGGACGGGGAGATCACAGTCCAGGAGTTGGGCAAGGTAAATATTATCTATTTAATGATGAACATTTTTAAGAAATATTTTGATCTATTTCAATTATCTACATTTTTCAGAAGTATTTGTCATCTATGCTTTTAATTATATATTCTTTGAATAAGAATTTTTTATACCTTTTTTATCTACATATTTATTCATTAGACAAATTTTTTTGATTACATTTTCTTAATTTTTAAGTACTTTTTATTTCAGCACATTTTTCCTCACATCAGCCAAACACCTTTGATTCATTTTTATATGCAAAAATATAACCAAAGAATACCATATTTTTACTCGATTTAAATAATATTTCTGTCAGAAAAAGTCAGATTTCGGTCTGTAATGTCTCGTTTGAAGGGGACCAAACTTGAGGGTGTTACTAATTCCATAATTTGAAAATCTTATTCAATTCCAAATAGATGAACAATATCTTATCCTGATAATATTTGAACACGCCGCAGATATTCCCTCCTTTGCTTTTAATTAATGTTTATCTAGGTTTATTAATAAAGGTTTTTTCTGTCCATATTTGTATTTATTACTTTTTTACCACAGATTAACAAATAGTGGTGCAACTTTATGTTTTGCATGCATACATCATATTCAAAATTCAAAAGTATTTTGACAACTTAAGTTACTTTAGACCATCCATTTAAAAAGTAGTGTCATATTCGTAATTGTGCTTATGACCTTTATCTATAAAATGACAAAAATATTTTTGTTTTTCCATCTTAAGTTGATTATTTTCCATGTTAAGTTAAGATAAGAAATCTTCCCTCCTATCTTCCTTTCTTTTATATATCTTCCTTCCTATTTTCCTTCCTTTTTAGATATCTTCCTTCCTATCTTCCTCTCTTTTTAGATATCTTCCTTCCTTTTCCTTCCTTTTTAGATATCTTCCTTGCTTTTCCTTCCTTTTTAGATATCTTCCTTCCTTTAACCTTCCTTTTTAGATATCTTACTTCCTTTTCCTTCCTTTTTAGATATCTTACTTCCCTTTCCTTCCTTTTTAGATATCTTACTTCCTTTTCCTTCCTTTTTATATATCTTCCTTCCTTTTCCTTCCTTTTTAGATATCTTCTTTCCTTTTCCTTCCTTTTTAGATATATTCCTTCCTTTTCCTTCCTTTTTAGATATCTTCCTTCATTTTCCTTCCTTTTTAGATATCTTCCTTCCTTTTCCTTCCTTTTTAGATATATTCCTTCCTTTTCCTTCCTTTTTAGATATCTTCCTTCCATTTCCTTCCTTTTTAGATATCTTCCTTCCTTTTCCTTCCTTTTTAGATATATGTAAAACTGGTTCAAATTTGGTGGATCAGTTCAAATTCATTGGACAGTACCTGTCAGTGATAGAATGGCGTTCCTTCTCAACATTGAAGTTTTACTTTAGAAAATAGAAATATAGCTCTAAACCCTTAATCTCAAATCTGCAGAATATGTCTGATATTTTATTTGTTTTGTCCAATTCTGAAGAAACCAATTTTCTGCTACGTGTGATGCATAAATGAGATGGGACAAATATAAAAGTATTAGAATAAGAGATTTTATCCATCGTAAGAGNTGGAGTAAATCCCTGCTTTATATCCTTGATGCAAAGAAAATGTCATATTTTGAAGTATGGCTTAGAGGTAAAAGACTATAAAATTTTAGGAATTTGAATAGATGCCACAAAACTCGGTATACATTGTCGCGAATGGTATACACGTACAGATAAAAAATTCTTTTCTTTAATCAAGTCTTTAGTCAGGTTAAAGAGACTGTAAACGGTATTTAAAGCGACTTTATATTTATATATATTACGCATCCAATTCATTGTTTGGTCAAGAATGCATGAAACATGAAATGTTATCATATTCAATATGCAAAATTTGATTATTTTAGGTTGCATGGTTTCTTTAAAAAGTGACTTGCGCATTCCTGCTTCATAAATAAGAGAAAATTGTCAGAATTAAACATTTTTGAAGATATAAAAAAGATAATATCTTACACATTATTGATCAGATTATGGAGACCGTTGTACTATAGGACAAGCCGCTCTATAAATGAAAAAATCGTTTTTAATTACGTCTACAGTGCCTTAAAGATCGAAAAACATATTTCCCCCTCCCCTCCCAGCCCCCCCTCAAGCTTTTTGGGGATAATTGTCTTCCTCATACATTGTCTGTTGAGCTGTATGAATTAAAAATAAATTATCAAATCTGCCTGAAATGTATTCTCAGATTTAATTAAATTAATTTATTCTCTTCCTTCTTTTCGCTGGAAACATTAGGTCTCTACTTTCCACCACATACAGTTTTTATATAATACTTCAAAATCAGAACACTAATTCTTTCCAGGGTTAATGGTTATGGTGTTGGCCAGGGTTTAAAAAATTGTAGAAGTATTTAGGAAAATTGGACAAAATGAGATTTAATATTTTTGACAAATATTATTATTAACGTGTGAGAGGATATGACCCATGTTTTCACATCAATTTTTCAAGGTTCTGAAGCTAAGAAAAAAGAAGTTATGGCTATTTTAAATTTTTTTACGCACCAACCGCCCTTTCGAAAGTCCGGAACTCACCTTATTCTTTCAAAAAAAAAAACAGTTAAATATCTTGCTAAGATTTCCTGTACTCCTTTCCCTTGCCAGTTTAATATCTTGCTGAGATTTCCTGTACTCCTTTGCCTGCCAGTTAAATATCTTGCTAATATTTCCTGTTCTCCTTCCCCCTGCTAGTTTAATATCTTGCTAAGATTTCCTGTTCTCCTTTCCCCTGCCAGTTTAATATCTTGCTGATAATTCCTGTTCTCCTTCCCCCTGCTAGTTTAATATCTTGCTGAGATTTCCTGTTCTCCTTCCCCCTGCTAGTTTAATATCTTGCTGAGAATTCCTGTTCTCCTTCCCCCTGCTAGTTTAATATCTTGCTGAGATTTCCTGTTCTCCTTTCCCCTGCTAGTTTAATATCTTGCTGAGATTTCCTGTACTCCTTCCCCCTACTAGTTTAATATCTTGCTAAGATTTCCTGTTCTCCTTTCCCTGCTAGTTTAATATCTTGCTGAGATTTCCTGTTCTCCTTCCCCCTGCTAGTTTAATATCTTGCTAAGATTTCCTGTTCTCCTTCCCCCTGCCAGTTTAATATCTTGCTGATAATTCCTGTTCTCCTTCCCCCTGCTAGTTTAATATCTTNCAGTTTACTATCTTGCTAAGATTTCCTGTACACCTCCCTCCTGCTAATTTAATATCTTGCTAAGATTTCCTGTACACCTCCCTCCTGCTAATTTAATATCTTGCTAAGATTTCCTGTACACCTGCCCCCTGCCAGTTTAATATCTTGCTAAGATTTCCTGTACACCTCCCCCCTGCCAGTTTAATATCTTGCTAAGATTTCCTGTACACCTCTCTCCTGCTAGTTTAATATCTTGCTAAGATTTCCTGTACACCTCCCCCCTGCCAGTTTAATATCTTGCTAAGATTTCCTGTACACCTTCCTCCTGCTAGTTTAATATCTTGCTAAGATTTCGTGTACACCTTCCCCCTGCTAGTTTAATATCTTGCTAAGATTTCGTGTACACTTTCCTCCTGCTAGTTTAATATCTTGCTAAGATTTCGTGTACACCTTCCCCCTGCTAGTTTAATATCTTGCTAAGATTTCGTGTACACCTTCCTCCTGCTTGTTTAATATCTTGCTGAGATTCAAAACAAACTTATTTAATTGCATTTAAGGTGACATTCAAACTATTTTCAGTTCTAAAATGAACATTTTTAAGAGAAGGTGGATAAATTTTCAAGAAAGTCGTTAGGAACTATAAAACCTGTCCCGAGCACATTTCTTAAATACCGTTCTCTTAACATACTCTTTATTGGATACTTCAATGTGTTCGTCATTAAATGCAAGTTTTGTATATTTGAAATAATTTTGCGTCTTTAAAATTCAGTTTTAACATTTAAATTGCTACAGATAAGTTTTTAGAATTAATGTAATTCTTTTTTAATATTTAATTTGCTGACAATGAGTTATTAATATTTTTATTTATTAAGATTTATTTTTAATTTTAATTTATGATCACTATTAATTTTAATTGCACAGATGAGTTTTTAAAATTATGCAATTTAGTTTTAATATTTAATTTGCTAACAATGTATTATTAATATTTTTATTTATTAAGATTTATTTTATTCTTAATTTATGAACACTATTAATTTTAATTGCAAGACATCTTTATATTCAGAATAGAATAGATTAAAAAAAAACATTTACTAAGTTTTGTTTTACTTGTAATTTATGATGATTCTCGATTTTAACAAGTAGCTTCTTTCAGAATAGAATCTAATTTGTTTGAAACTCTCAACACGTAGCAATTTCCCTAAATTTGGTTAAAATTTGTAACGCGGACACTGCAGAGATAAATATGAGTTTAATTCAATTTAAAAATCCCATTAGATTCAACATTGATAGATTTTGATAAGGTTTAGTTTTCTTGAAACAGCTAATCCCCCCCTCCCCCGGGCTCTAGAGACTCGATGCCCCTACTTTTAAAAAAAATAGTATTTTACTTTATGGTTAAGTTCGGAGCTTTAATTGAAGATTTTATCCCCAAAAAAACTCTTGCTCTTAGTCCTGGCACCCCCTCTCAGTTATCTGTCCTTCATCAATCCAGGAATTGTCCCCCCCCCCTTTCTCATTAACTGCGTATCCCCCCACTGCGTACCTTCCCTCCATAGTCTTGACCTTCCCTTTCCCTTCTTTCCCCTCCTATCCCCTCCTTTCCCCTACGTTCTTCCCACCTAGCTAGGCCTGAAAGTCTGAATTTCTCGTTGGTAATTAGATGTGACACTGTCTCCCAGGTTTCATGCTTCAAATCTAGCTTTACAACATTAACAACAGCAGCAACAACATTAACATAGTAACACTAACCTTAACGACAGTCAACAACAAAAACATAGTCAACATCAACAACATAAACGTAATCAAAACAACATAAACAACAGGTAAGGTAACATAAACATAGTCAACAACAACATTAACATATGTATGTAGTCAACAACTACACAGACAACACAATTAACAACAACATAAACAACACGGTCAACATCAACATGAACAACAGTAAGGTAGTAACAACTGCATAAGCAAAACTCTGTCTGGAACAATGCATTTCAGTTAATAAGTTAAGATAAATGTACATGCCGCTCAAGGCCATAATATTGACGATCAGAGAACGTTACAATTTTGCTAAAAGCACGTGATATTGACGATTTGAGAACGTTACAATGTTGCTAAAAGTACGTGATATTGACGATCTGGGAACGTTACAATGTTGCTAACAGCACGTGATATTGACGATTTGAGAGCGTTACAATGTTGCTAAAAGCACGTGATATTGACGATCTGAGAACGTTAAAATGTTGCTAAAAGCATGCGATATTGACGATTTGAGAACGTTACAATGTTGCTAAAAGCACGTAATATTGACGAGCTGAGAACGTTACAATGTTGCTAAAAGCACGTGATATTGACGATTTGAGAGCGTTACAATGTTGCTAAAAGCACGTGATATTGACGATCTGAGAACGTTAAAATGTTGCTAAAAGCATGTGATATTAACGATTTGAGAACGTTACAATGTTGCTAAAAGCACGTAATATTGACGATCTGAGAACGTTACAATGTTGCTAAAAGCACGTGATATTGAAACTTGAAGTATGTAACACGGACGCTTGCTGATTGGGATAAATTACATGTTAATCAGAAAGAAAGCAAGTTTAAAATATCAATATGATTTATTAAATAAAATTGAAATTATTTTGATTACTATCCATGACGGGGCGGGATATTGAAATAAAATGAAGTTTTATTATTAAAAATGCAAAATTCATTTTGACCATTGACTAAGGCTTAATTAAGGGTAGATTATTACTAACTCACTTGAAAGAAAGTTGTCGATTTTTGCATAAGTAGAAGATACGGGTTTATCAAACCCTCTTTAAACAAATAACAAATAGAAATAAAGTATAAGTTTTTAACATATTTATTTTTTCTCTCCTGATATTTCTATAAGACGTGTCAGAAATTGAAAAGTAAGATCGACCTAAGAATAATGCCTTAACTCAATAATTCCATCTTTTCTACTTCAATATAAAATACATCTTACTTTAACATAAATGAAAATGTTTTTATCTAATATTTTGATAATATTTTGATAATATTTTGATAATATTTTGATAATATTTTGATAATATTTTGATAATATTTTGATAATATTTTGATAATATTATTTTCATCCTTCCTATTATCATTTTAATCATTTTCATCCTTACCATTTTATTTTTATCATTTTTATCCTTCCCATTTTTATTTTTATTTTATTATTTTCAACCTTTCCATTTTTATTTTTATTCATTTTCATTCTTCTTTTCTTCGAGCATGCATATTCAGACTTCTACCCCCCCCCCCTTTCGCCCCGCAATCCTGTTCTACGAGTGGGGGAAGGCACTTAAATGAGCCACGACTATTTTTCCGTTAATGCAACAAATTAGCTTTTCTGTGTTCCGACAGCCATGAGCCACAACTATTGTTTTTTCATGCAACAATATTGATTTTTGAAATCCTAATTTAAACATATAGAATTTGCCGGAAGACTATATTGTTGTGACATGGAAGATCGAGAATAATTGTGGCTAATAGCTAAAGACCTAAAAGCTAATATTTGGCATGGAAAAGAAAAAAGTCGCGGCTTTTGGCTTATTTCCCCTGATCGTCGTACCCCTTGCTGAACCTGGTGACCAAGGCCTTGTATGTTAAGGTGATGAAGACCCATGGTTTCCATCCTACGGAGGAGGAACTCCAGGATATGATCAGGAACGTCGACACCAATGCTAACGGTGCCATCGACTTCAATGAGTTCATTGAGATGATGGTGAAGCGGGACTCAAGGAAGAGGATTCAAAACTTGATATCGGTTTTTAATTTTATCTCTCTTTGTGTGCATATTCTTAAAAAGTATGTTTAAAATTTGACAAAATAGATGCTAGTAAATAAATCAGATTTTTCATCAACTTCCAACACTGAATATAAACTTTTGATCTACCAATTTTACTATGACTTCTTTTTCCTCCGAGGATTTTTTTCTTAATTCAGTGGATTTGCATTGAAATATTTTCTCCAGTAATTGCCTTTATCATTTTGGAAGCTTTAAGGTATATTTCAAAACAGGTTTTAAGTTTTGATTCTCTCATTTAGGATTGAAGATGATGTGGTGCATGCGTTTAAGGTGTTTGACAGAGATGGAGACGGCCTAATATCAGAGGAGGAGTTGAGGTTGACCATGAACAACCTCGGCGAGCCTCTGACCGAGGCCGAGGTCAAATCAATGATTGCTGAAGCTGATCTTGATGGAGATGGGAAAATTAATTTCCAGGAATTTTCTCGTCTTATGGCCAACAGCTCTGGAGCCTGTGGTTCAAACCAGTCTAAGGGAGTATGACGGATAGACTCCTAGTGCCCTGACCCACTGCTGACCGCGGGCATTGTAAACTCAGGATTTGATTACTGGTCAGCAGACCACTGAAGTTTGAATGCAGAAGTGGAAAACCAAATTTTTAACTTAAAAATGAATTTCATTAGTGCCAGATACATTTAAAAGTTTTACAATTAGAAACTTGAGTTATAATTGAAATAGTTGTATAATTACATGCTTGCTAATTTAAACAGTCATGGTGATCTTTACATTTTATCTATATGTGTAGTTTACTAGTTATACAAGAACGACCGGTTGAGTTTAAGCACTAGTTACATATTTTCAAAGAAAAGTTTGTTGTAACTTTGAAATAGTCTTTTAATAAGTAAGTATAGCACCTAACTATTTGTGTCAAAACTAAAAGTAATGGTTAAGTTAGGATTTGAGTGAAATTTTCTCAATTAAGAATGATGGAAAAATCAGCTACTTTTGAATGCAATATATTTTTTCTTGATTTGGTGAAGAACTTGAGTTTAAAGTTTATGGTGTTTAAGACAAAATGATTAGTTTTAAGATTTAGCTGAAAACATGTCAAACAGCATATCATATTTTTTAACCTTGATTGATTGATTGATCTAAAAGATATTTTAGATTTGAATTATAAGTGTGAGTTGTAAAGCTAGATTATGCCAAACGAGATATTTCTATTGTAGTCTGAAGACGGTAACCATAGTATCTTCCAATTTTATTGGGCCTGAGCAAACACAATTAAACGATCTAAAAAAAATTAATCTTTCTGCGAAAAATTTCATGATTTTATTGCCCCCCTTTCGAATTGATTTAAAACTCTCTTTTTCACTTTTTAAGTTGAGCTCCTAGATTAAAAATACATTTTCAAACACACATTAGAATTTTTTATTGCCAGTTTTGGTATATTATATAATTTTAATATTATACAATATTTGAAATTTCAGAACTTTTTGAATATTTTTTTTTTAATGGCCAATAATTTTTATCATCTGGGGATAGAATTCTAATTTTCGAGACTTACTTGAATTCTAGAGACTTACTTGAATTCTAGAGAATAACTTGAATTCTAGAGAATAACTTGAATTCTAGAGAATAGCTTGAATTCTAGAGAATAGCTTGAATTCTAGAGAATAACTTGATTTCTAGAGATAAACTTGATTTCTAGAGAATAACTTGAATTCTAGAGAATAACTTGAATTCTAGAGAATAACTTGAATTTTAGAGAATAACTTTAATTCTAGAGAATAACTTTAATTCTAGAGAATAACTTGAATTCTAGAGAATAATTTTTCGATGCTGCGACTGCAGGGAATCTAGACTTTATATACTTCAATCTTGAAGTTTTTGATGGATTAAAGTGGTTGAAACTTTTGTTTAAGATTTGGCATTTAATCTGTTGAGACTGTAGGTTTTAAATCGGAATTCTGTGCAGTTTACAGGGCGCGTAATTGCGCACAAGTAAAATCCACTTGCGTTGGAAACCCTAGCTGGGACTACAATTAATACGGATTAGTGCTTTTTGAATGGATCAATGAAACAAAAGTTTGGACCTCAGCTCAGGCATTATAAGAATACAGTTACGTGCAGCAATTTTTAAATCATAGGGGGGGGGGGGTCAAGTCCTTGCTACTTTGTCCCTAAAAAAGTAACTAATTCAAAAAATCAAAATCAGTCAACGGTAATTTTCATAGATTTACTGAATCGTTTTACGAATACATGTTTTTTTTATAGATTATAGTACATTTTAATGTTATAAGTTTAAATGTTATAAATGTACTCGAGGGTTTGCACTCTTTCAACATTATGCAACTTTACAATATAATAGTTCAGTCTTAATGTGTTTTAATGTTAGAATATTTTCTATAAATGTATTTTAAAATATTGTTTATTACTATTGTAGGTCATTTTTATTTGAAATATAAAAGTTTTATCATGATCTCTTTTTTGTAATGGTTTGGAAGATAACATGTTTTTTCTATTTTTTAAAAAAAAAGATAGAAATATTAGATTTTGGATTTATAGAAAACTCTTGATTGTATTTAGTAAATTCAATTTCATGAGTAAAATTCCAAATTTTGAAATATAAAGAATTGTTCAAATTTCCAGAATTTAGCAGAACTCGCAGAACCCATGTAGTTATTGAATCTTCTTCACGTTTTATATAAGATATTGAAAATATTAGTTCCTAACCAATTTGTCTTATAGGATTTTTAATGTGGCTCGGTTTCATTTTCCAAAATGCCTTTTCAATAATACACTTTCCATAAGTTGCATTTGCCATAATGGCGAAACATGACAGTTGGTGAATATTTTTGAATGTCTTCTTCCATATACTGTATTAGATACATGGTGTCCCACGAAACATGACAATAGAAAGACGACTTGAAAGTCGTCTTTAATATTTGAATTTATTTGTGACATTTAGTATTCTATCTACTTTAACATGTATGATTCTTGAAACAATTATCACAATTCTCCTAGCCCTGGCATTTCCAAAAAGTGGTCTGCGTTTTTTGTGCTTTCAATATTACCTGAGATATAAAGAGTTTGGTTCAGATTTCAATTTTGTTAAATAAAAGCAAAATTGTCGACATCTGAACGAAATTCTTTATATGTCGGGCAATATTGAAAGCACAAAAAAGGCAGACCACATTTTGGAAATGGCAGGACTAGGGGAATTTTGTGATTATTATCTCTAGAAATTTACCTCTAAAATTAGGTTGACAAACAAATGCAGCAAATTATATCAAAAATCAAGACGACATTCAAGTCCTCTTGCATACTGTCATGTTTCGTGGGACACCCTGTATTAAAGACTGTTTGCAATTTATTTAGCTTAAAAAAACTTTCCTCAAATATATTTTATATTTGGAAATCAATTTACGATAATATAAATGCCATTAAATATTTATTATTATTCTCTTTGGAAACAAACAACTGGATATATTATGGAAGAAGACATTTTAAACTATTCACCAACTGTCATGTTTCGAGGGACACCCTGTTGGTGAAGTTACCATTGTCCCAAACGATAGGTTTACGTTCCCTGTAATTATCTCATGCTTATGTTTCCCTGTTACCATGCGTCTAAGATTCTAAAATTAAGCTTAATTTCTTATGGCATTTATCTCTTTATCTTATATGAGAGTAAAGTAGTTCTTGGTGAAGTAATATTTCTCAGAGTTTTATAAAAGATAAACACAATAAACAACTTATATTAGTGATTTCTTTTCCACAAAACCATTCACATACAGGAGAAAACAATTTTTATACAAATCTTAAATTGAAAAGGTAAATTATTATAGCTTACAAGTGTTGTTTATTTATCAAAAAAATACATTAATTTAGAAAAATGTCGATTTAAATATTTTTGGAAGCTGGATCCTACAAAAACGCATATCAGTTTTTAAGGGACATATTATATATTTGGATGGCTGGCGTGTGTTTCATAATTAAGAAATGTGGATTTGAAAACTAATGAATTTTTTCAAACTTTAAAAATTCATCGGTACAAACTTAAAAATCAGCCATAAGTAAAATGGGGGTTGGGGGAGGGGGCTCCTTTAAAAAGAGAGATCTAAGTAAAGGGATTTTGGGTTTCCCTTGATAAAAGGTAACAAATGAAAATGAATAAAGGGAACCCTATAAATGGGTCACTCTGTAATGAAATAAAGGAATATTTCTGAAGATTGATAGGGATGGAGGCCGGGAGGGCAGGAGCGTAGTGGAGGGGGGGGACGGTAACCCTGTGCCCCCTAGGCCCCCCCCCCCTAGAGCCAGAGGCAGGCTCTAATTTTAATACACAGTAAACTTACATATATATTCAGATTTTTTTTACTTTTCTTATTAATCGACAATGTCACAATTTGTCCATTTTTTGATTATTTCTCAAATTCTTTCTTGTACCTAAATCTTATAATTATGGTCAGATGACATAATAGTCAGCCTTCAGGTAGATTAATATAGATTTTAAACTTTATTTTTTTTAATACCGGCTTTTTAAGCACATCAACCATTAGGGGGGTGCACAAAAAAAGTTTTCGGCACGCTTACGTACGCCAAAAGTGCACCCCCCGAGGCTAAACCTCCACGACGCGCCTGCGGGAGGAAGGTAGAAAGAGAGGGAAGTAGAGGGGGTAGGAAGGGGTTAGGAAGGGGGTAGAAGGGGGTAGGGAGGGAGGTAGAAAGAGAGGGGGTAGCCGGTTATAGGAAGGGGTAAGAGGAGGGTTGAATGATTGAGAGAACACACATAATACTAAAATTATCCTGAATTAAGCGTTGTATTGTACTACCGTAAATCTGCAGTACAATACAATGACCTTAGAATAATAAGGTTTTAGTGCAGAGTGAAATTTCATCTCCTCAACCGGCAACCCTGGAAAATTTAATCTTCGTCTTCACTCCCCTGGTAGTCCTCTATATTGTATCCGGGGGCCGCCTGGCTACCTTTTAATCTCCTGCAACAAAAACAAAAATTAATAACAAAAAATGTCACCGGAACTTAATCTGGTAATGATTCCTCAATCTATAAAGACGTTAAACGGTTCTGTGGAATAATATTCTTTTTACTTAATAGACAATAGAATTTTATCAGCGAGGTTATAGTATATAGAGTGATGATGTACGCTAATTCTTTACTAATTGTACAGGCCATTTAATTCACTACCAAAGGTCAATCTGTATATTACAGTAATCGTTGGTGATTTCTGAAAATATTTATATTGAGAATTTGTTTTCCATGTAACTATTAAAATCCACTTCCCCTGTATCGTGTGCAGGATTCCATATTCACAGGAAGACGTATATTATCGTCTTTTACAGAGCAATATTTCATTGTTAATAAACGGTTTTGAGAAAACTGAGTAAAAGATACAAAACCTCCCTTTACCAAGCACCTCTGCCCCTTTAGTAAATTCAACCTATATGAAGCATAAAGTCTGACCGCGTCAACCTTGTTGCACCGCGCGGCTAGTCCTGTCCATAGAGATAGGTACAGTACAAACTGGGACTGGAAAGGTTGACCCGGCTCGGAAATTCAAATGTACTACGGCTGCCCGTGATACAATTGTACTCCGAAAGCGTACTGCATATTTGATGTTTGTACTGTATCATTAGGCCATAATCTCTTAACATACTTTATCAGTCAACTATACTAAGTGTACACTCAGCCTAATACACACGGAGAGGTAGCTCAGATCCACCTCCCCTGAATTGAATCTTTGCCGCAAACTCTGATTTTACAATCCCTATATATTTGCAACCCAATGTCGGATACCTCAAATTCATAGTCCAAACTATGAATTATGTTATATCAAATAATCTAAGTTTGAAATATCAAAGGTTTCCACTATCAGGTTGCAAAGATATCGGGATTAGAAACTGCGGGTTTGTGGCGAAGACTCAATTCCTTTGAATATCACAAAATGTTTTGCTGCAGAAATCTAATCCAATAAAAAATCTTAATGAAACAGAAATCTAATCCAATAAAAAAGCAAGGTAATCCTTCCAATATAAACAACCAATTGCAAACCTTAAGCCAAAAGTCACGTAATGAAACATTGAGAGAAAATCAGAAAATACTTTTTAATTTTTTTATTTTAGTTTTTTCAACAAAAATATACTTTAGACTATTAAATGTACTCATTATGTGATTAACACAGAAACTCAACACTGTCAACATTTCTAATTTTCTATATCTTTGCAATTTGATTGTACCATTCATAATTCAAACTTTGACTAGATGCAAATATCAAATATGTGTCGAACAAAAAAGGGAGAGGGGGGGGTTATACACTATGATGATAAGACGCGAAAACTATTTAAAGTTTTAAAATAACTTCAATATCAAATAAATAAACTACCGTCGATATTTATGGCTACAGAATATTTTTAACTTTATCAATTTATTTATTTATAATTTTTTTTTGAAACAAATTAATTGATACATGTATTTAATGCAGAATGCAGATACTCATGTTTCCAATCTTCTTGTTTCCTGGCTGTCCTGTTTTGCTCATTCAATTATAGCTGCATACCCCATAATCCAGTTTCCATTTTGAGAAGGGTGAAAAACCAGTTTATGGTATTTGATTTAAAGTCTATTGAAGGCTCTGTTCCCCCTTAAAACCTGTATCAGCGTGTACTTCATCCCTGATGTTTTGAGTTTCTGTATTCATCGTTATTACTACAGAATATAAAAAAGGCTGGAAAGGTTTTACAAAGGGCCAAGGCCTGGCATCTCTACAAAGTAGATCCATGGCTCACTAATAAGGAAATAAATTTCGTAAGTTAACTTTTAGGTCAGTAGCTCAGTAGCTCAGTAGCTCAGTAGCTCAGTAGCTCAGTAGCGCTGTAAAAAACAAGCATAGCTTTTCCGTCCAAATAAAAGTTCCCATCATCATTTATTTCTATATATTTTCATTTCTATATATTTTCATTTGATTTATCATTTTCTTGTTATTTATCCCCCCGCGGACATCTGTTTTATAGAATTAGTAAGAGACCATATTGTACAAATCCTACTCTCTCTTATATAACCCCTACTACATATATTATCAATATATATATATATACATATAAGTATTTATTGACAATATATGTAGTACGGGTTAAATACGATAGAATATATATATATGTAATTGAAAAATCCTAATCAAACTTATTTAAACCATAGTATTTTGTTCAATAAATACTTATTTAAGTGAAAAAATCAACCCATTCTTAGTATCTTATAAACTGCTGGAATGGTAAATTTGTGGTCCTTCCGAAACTTTTATCATGATTTTTTACGACAAAAAAGTAATCACATAACAAACATGTTTAACACAATTTATGCTGTAATTTTTCATACAGATGGCTCATCTCCCCTTCCCGTTAAAAAAAAAAACATTGAAACACCATACGAGACGAGGTAACTCCATTAAAAAACAAAAAAGGTTCTCCAACATAAACATGTCCTAAGTTTCTAGCAAGAACATTTTCTAATTTAATGAAAACAAGATCCAATTAATTTCTTTTTAAACGAAAACATCCTCAATTCAAGGAGATGGTGTAAAAATAAACAACAAACATAAAAAACAATAGTAGTACTTGAATCTGAGTATACCAGGTACCTACCTGAGAATTACTTTAATCTGAGTACACTAGGTACCTACCTGAGAAGTACTTGCATCTGAGTATACCAGGTACCTACCTGAGAAGCACTTGACTCTGAGTTTACCAGGTACCTACCTGATAAGTACTTAAACCTGAGTATACCAGGTACCTACCTGAGAAGTACTTGAACCTGAGTTTACTAGGTACCTTCCTGATAAGTACTTGAACCTGAGTATACTAGGTACTTACCTGAGAAGTACTTGAATCTGTGTATATTAGGTACTTATCTGAGAAGTCCTTGAACCTGAGTATAACAGGTACCTACCTGAGAAGTACTTGAACCTGAGTATACTAGGAACCTACCTGAGAAGTACTTGAACCTGAGTATACTAGGAACCTACCTGAGAAGTACTTGAACCTGAGTATACTAGGAACCTACCTGAGAAGTACTTGAACCTGAGGGTCTACAGCAAGTTCCTCAGCACTTTTCCCATCTCTTGAGGTAAACCAACCATGATAAAATTCAAAAAATGAAAGAAATAAAGTGTCGACTCTAAATGGTCTCAAATCAATCAACTTTATTTCAAAACATTCAGGAAAAAAGAAAGTTTTTTGAAAGGGAGAAACCGGCAATGTGTGGGAGTTGACCTGAGAACGCAGTTTTGTAAAGAAATTTTTCAGGATTCATTTGACCCTGTCAGACGTTTTTACGGTCCATATTTATTCAGCAAAAGTGCAAATTCAATTTTTACAATCCTTCAATGGCCATTCTGGAGAGATGATATTTGAGAATCGTTTTTTTTTAAATTATTCAAAAATTCTAAAGTAAACTAATTGGATGTTTAGGAACATATTTCTCGATAAAAATTTGTCAATAAATCAATGTTAGAATGAATTATTTCCTTTTCATCATTATATTGAATTTTTTATTCTTTAAACATTTGTTTGCAGATTTCTTCAAATTCTTAAAATGTCGTCTTTTCAATAAAAATTGCAGGAAAATGTTTGTGAACAATGTGACATTGCAGATACTAACAACTGAGTTATAAGATTAATTATTTTAGAGGATAAGAGTTAATTTATTTTCTCAATCTGTTCCTAATCAACTTATTAGTTTACCATATTTGTTACATTTTTAGTGGTCGTGATAGAATAATTTAAAAAAACCGATTCTCAAAATTATCCCTCCAAGATGGACAATCTATGACTATGAGGATTTTAAAGATTGAATTTGCGCTCTTGCTGAACAAATATGCACCGTAAAAACGTTTTATATTGCTCTGCAATACTTCATTTTCAGTTCATACATTGCCGGTCACTCCCTTTAAGAATTTGGAACGGTTTCCGTGTTCTGTTTAGTAAAATATTTAAGGTTTACAAGTAAGTCCAAAAAGTAAGTTTTAATTCTCCTTTTAGTCTAACCAAAAATATCCCCTCCCCCCTTCTTCCCTAACGCACTTGAGCATTTTTATAAATATACATCCCTGAGTTTTGAAACCATATTTAGCACTGAACACATATTGTATTTTTTGGCAAGACTTGGAATGGCACTAATGCAAGCCTTTCATGTCTTTCAAGCCTATTCTCCGGAAAAGATTTATGGGAATTATTTTTGCAAAAGATGCAAAAACTGTTATCAATATAAAAGTTTACTTACAAGTTACAAGAACCACAGTTTTTTTTAAATTTCTGATTAACAGTTTATGAAGAAAATGGGTTTAACTATTTGGTATTTCTCTTAACCCCCCTCCTCCCCCCCTCATTCATTACTCTCACCTAAGCGAAAAAAAGATTTGAAAGCATAACAAGTGTTATCAAGAACTATTTAAACAAATCTTAGGAATCTCTAGAAGGAACACTTTTGGTATTCTATTGGAGGAGATCCTTCCAAACTTTAAAATATCACATTCAAGTCGTTAAAGGGACTGAAGACGTAATTATGTGGGACCCACCATTTTCAGATTGGAATGTCCAATGCCCTCCATTTTCAGATTGTAATGTCCAATGCCCTCCATTTTCAGATTGGAATGCCCAATTCTCTCCATTTTCAAATTGGAATGTCCAATACCCTCCATTATTAAATTGGAATGTCCAATGCCCTCCATTTTCAGATTGGAATGTCCAATTCATAACCACACTCTCTTAAAGCAATCTTAGTTCAAGAACTAATGTTGTGATTTGTGATATCCTTGGTTTTAACCTTGAAAATAAATATTATTAATTCTGATTTCTCTTTTAAAATAATAGATGGACTGGAGGACATTTTCTGAAGTAAACAATTTCCAAGCTACGTCTGCGCGGAACTACAAAATCTTCCTCATTATTGATACAGCAAAGGTGTAAAGGGTATCGTTGTGAACCGGAGAAATCTGTGAATGGAAAGCTTCACTTGAAAATACGTTTGCAGTCCCTTTCATTGAATATATTTTAGGTTAGTTTCCTGTTGACAAGACCAGGATTGGATCCAGCATTCACCAACATCTTAAATATCATATAAATAGAAATATCTATCAAACTCTTCGGTATATCTGTATGTATATTTGATCCATTACTCTGGTTCCTTCCCTATACCCTGACATATATCTGATCCATTACTCTGGTTCGAACCCTACCCTGATATATAGATGATCCCTACTCTGGTTCCTACCCTACCCTGATATATATCTGATCCATTACTCTGGTTCCTACCCTACCCTGATATATATCTGATCCATTACTCTGGTTCCTACCCTACTCTGATATATATCTGATCCATTACTCTGATCCATTACTCTGATCTCCTACCCTACCCTGATATATATCTGATCCATTGCTCTAGTTCCTACCCTACCTTGATATATATCTGACCCATTGCTCTGGTTCCTACCCTACCTTGATATATATCTGATACATTACTCTTGTTCCTACACTACCTTGATATATATCTGATCCATTGCTCTAGTTCCTACCCTACCTTGATATATATATCTAATCCATTGCTCTGGTTCCTACCCTACCCTGATATATATCTGATCCCTACTCTGGTTCCTACCCTACCCTGACATATATTACTCTCATCTCCTACCCTACCCTACCCTGATATATATCTACGCTATTACTCTGGTTCCTACCCTACCCTGATATATATTTGATCCCTTACTCTGGTTCCTACCCTACCCTGATATATATCTGATCCCTACTCTGGTTCCTACCCTACCCTGATATATATTACTCTCATCTCCTACCCTACCCTACCCTAATATATATCTACGCTATTACTCTGGTTCCTACCCTACCCTGATATATATCTACGCTATTACTCTGGTTCCTACCCTACCCTGATATATATATATGATCCATTACTCTAGTTCCTCTCTAATCTCTCACTATTCTCTGATATATTACTCTGGTTTCATTATTAAAGTGGGGGAACAATGTAATTGGATTCCTTTGATATTGAAACTTATTGGTTTAAAGAGCCTCTTAACCAATTACCATCATCTATTGTAAAGAAATATATTTTTTTGAATATTGATATTATACAGTGAGAATCAGAAAACTGTGGAGTAGGAGGACTACTCAAGTTATGATATCAAACAGAGGTGGATACAGGATTTAAGTGAGGTGGGTGCTAGATTAATTTCGGTACCAAAAAAATCCTGATTTAGGAACAAAAAGTCGCGCCAAATGCGAACTTAAAAGACTCAGAAAGAGTCAAAACTAATGACTAAAAAACTTAGCATCTTCACCAGGAAAAAAATATTTAAATGTAGCTATATATGTAAAGAAATATTTAAATGTAGCTATATATGTAAAGAAATATTTAAATGTAGCTATATATGTAAAGAAATATTTAAATGTAGCTATATATGTAAAAAAATATGTAAATGTAGCTATATATGTAAAAAAATATTTAAATGTAGCTATATATGTAAAGAAATATTTAAATGTAGCTATATATGTAAAGAAATATTTAAATGTAGCTATATATGTAAAAAAATATGTAAATGTAGCTATATATGTAAAAAAATATTTAAATGTAGCTATATATGTAAAGAAATATTTAAATGTAGCTATATATGTAAAGAAATATTTAAAAATCTCTTTTCTTGATTACCATACTTTTTTATGTTACTTTGACATGTAAATAAAAAGAAGCAAGAAGAGTAACATTGAGTAAACTAACATTTAAATAGAGAACATCAGATACAAGGAACATTAACAAAAACCAGAACAGGTACGTTTGGGGAGGCGCAACTAGAGAGGGGGGGGGGCGGCCGGTTGGGCAAAATTGCTAGTTGCCCCTCTGTACGTTTGGTTAAGACTCAGGAACCAAACACAAACAACTTGGTATATCACATCATAGACCGGAAGAAATATCGTTCTTGAGAAAAGGATCAAAGCCGACAGGTCAGCTAAACAAATGCAACTTAGGATTTTAGGAACAACAAGGTCAAAAAAGAAAGAACTAGGAACAGGTTCATAAAAAAGGAACAATACAATAACACGAATGTTGGGTGAGTTAGGAACAAAAAAAGTACTGGATTAGGAACATTAAACGAGGATTGAGTAACAAAAACTATAAAATGGAAACTATAACAAAAACATTGACTATTGAACCAAGAGCCAGCTAGGAACATTAAAAAAACTAGGAGTTTCATACATACATTAAGAACGAACAAATAACAAAGCAACAATAAAAAGATTGTTTAAGAAATAGGAACAAAAATAAAGGATTAGGACAGGAATTTAGGGTCTAGGGTCGGACAAAGTGTTAGGAATAGGATTAGTATTAGGCAGAGGCGTATTGAGGGGGGAGGGGCTATTGGGGCTAAGCCCCCCCCCCCTGGACCAGTGAAATCTATTGATTTCAGGGGGTTTTCAGGCCCCAACGGGTGCTGAGCCCCCCCTCTGGAAAGATAAAAAAATTTAAGCCCCCCCCCCTTGGACAAATTCCTGAATATGCCAATGATATTAGGAACATTAAGCAAGTTAAGAACAAAAAGAAATAACTAGTTATACTCATATGCATGAAATTAGGAACAATATTACAATTTTTATTAATTAGTATTACTAGAGAGGAACAATAGGAAGATGTGCAGTGTGCCGCGTATTAACACCAATAAAACCAAAACACAATGTCGTTGTACTTACATCGTTGGTTATATTTATTTTTAACAAGCTAGAAAAATATATAAAAAGTCTAATGAACATGGGACGTAGCAGTTTTGCAGTGTACATGGACAATTTTACTTAATAAGTAAAATTTCAACAAAAATATCATATATTTGTAATAAAATCATACTGTTCTACAATATCATATATCTGTAAAAAATCATACTGTTCTACAATATCATATATTTGTAATAAAATCTACTGTTCTACAATATCATATATCTGTAAAAAATCATACTGTTCTACAATATCATATATTTGTAATAAAATCTACTGTTCTACAATCGAAAGCTGTCTATTTGTTTCGTTGAAAAATTTAAATACTGAAGGTACTGTAGACGTAATTTTTAATTGAGCTCCCATTTATAGAGTGGTATGTCTAATTCACAACAGTACCCTCAAAACCTTTGTTTGACGTAGATACTAAATAGCAGAAGCGGAGGACGACTTGATCGTAACGGTGTACTTACACTCCATGCTAAAGTACACTGGTTGTTTCATAATAACTAAATTGCTTAAAAAGTATGAATATATACAAATCAGGTTTAAAGGGTACCGTTGTGAATCAGACATGCCACTTTATTTCTGGAAGTTACTTAAAAATACGTCTTTTGTCTCTTTAAAAAAAAACTTTTTTTTTAGTAAAAAATATATATTTTACCTCCACAACTGAGGAATGGCCATGTGCAGCAGCCAGAGTAAGCGGTGTTTCATCTGAAAAATAGATATGTCTAAAAATTGGTTAATGGAAATCTAAAAATTGGTTAATGGAAATGAAAATTTGTCCGTAAACATGGCAAATAAAAGTTCAATGGAAAAATTGGTTACTAGTACTTATAAAGGAAAGAAAAGAATAAGTTAACTGTAAAACAAAACAAAAAATGTTGGATCCCGCTCTCGAAAAAAAACAGATTTTTATTGAAAGGACAATATGTTAACCTGATATGAAAATTCCTATCTCAACAGGAAAAAAATGGAAATACAAAATAAAAAGAAAAAATATATAAAATGGTATAAATCTAAATTGTGCATGCACTGTGTATGTTTGGAATAAACACAGAATATATATATATATGGAATATTGGAAAACTCATCAATTGTACATTTAACAGATTTATATCTACGTAGATATATAAATAGATAGATAGATAGATAGATAGATAGATAGATAGATAGATAGATAGATAGATAGATAGATAGATAGATAGATAGATAGCTATATCAATAGAAAGAAAGATATTTCTATTCTCAACTTCAAATTTTTATTTGATAAAGAACTAACTATACATTATGTTTCATGCTTTGCCAACAATCTTCGGTAGTAAATCTTTGTTCAACAGAAAGTTAGAGGATCGATAGATTGATAAATCAGATGATTAATTATGTAAATTATAAATCATCTATGGGTCCGTCCCCCCGTGAGATCTCAATTTCCCTTTTTAAACACCCACCCACATACAATTAAAACTGTTGCACCCCATCTCAACAGAAATTGTATAAAACAATTAAATTTTGTTCCATTTTTACAAGGTTACATATCATGAAGAACTAAAATACCTGATCTAATAACTAATTTTCATTTTCATATGATGAGATCGAAAAAAATAGTTAAAGTCTCATTCCTTCTGGATCCCCCTGTAAACCCCTCTAAAGTTTTACCTAATCTATTTCTAGCATCTAGCAATATCTAGAATTAAACCAACTTTGTAAATCTTAAGGTTTCAAAATTACTAAATAATTAACTAGGGTCATAAAGAAAAATTTGAATGGACAAGTAGAAAGCTAAAAAAAGCTTTTGTTGAGAAGACGAGCCAAAAAAAAAACTAAGTAAATGCGTTCTTAAACCAGTTTTTAATTCGTTCAGAAGAACTTTCATGTTGGATACTTAAAGTCCCGATCGCTCGATTTCGATATCCATTGTGGGCACTTTTAATTTGTGGGTCTTTAAAAACCACACTAGCTTGCCATATCTAATTTTAGCGGGATATAGCATAAGAATTAAATTAATCTGCAGATGCAAAAGATCGAGATCTATCATTGATTCCCAGCTACGATTTAAATTTTTTTTTGTAAAAGAGTGAAGATTTTGCATTGTGTAATAAAAGCTAACTGTTGAGAGTTATGTATATTATGTTCTATACAGGGCGGACAATATACACCTTAAAATTCTAACATTTGCTAATATTTTGTATAGAATATGTAAGAGTGCTGTAGCTTAAAATATCTTAATTTGAGTTTCTCTTTGATCACCTGGCTGTATCATCTTCTCAAGGAAAATGAATAAGTTTAACTTATTTTAAAATACAAGAATTGAATATATAAGCAACAAAAGTACCAAGATTAATAAAAAAGAATTTTTGTGGTTATCAAACTATGTCAGGGGTTGATGTGAGCTTTGATAAGGGCTTGAAGGGAACTTTGATCAGGGGAGGAATAACTGAAATTAATAGATTTACAATTGATCCTCAAATTAAAAATGCCCACAGTGGATATCGAGATCAAGGATCGGGATTATGAATATCCAAGACAAAATTTCCCAGCTTAGGTTAGATATATCTACTCTGAACTACGGAGATTCATGAATATGTATTTTATTACTGGATTTGATTAATATTCTGACTTTTTAAAAATCTTAAAAATTAATGGAGATTTAAAAAATATTTTCACAAAGTTTTACTGTAATGTAGAAATGCCCTCTAAAAATTTTAAAAATCTAAATCAAATTAAATTTAAATTAAAGTTAAATTAAATTTTTAACAAAATTTTGGTTTTCCTTGTCTACTGAAGTTAAGATCCTTACACAATCATCATGGCCTCCTCTAAACAATATATTTATTAGAAAAATGATTGACTATTCTATTTTATCGACACATAAAACAGAAAATCTCCTTGTCCATGATTACCATAAAGAGGAAAAATACAAAAAAATTTGCCGCTTCAGCGCAGATAATTTTACTCAGTCACTTAAAAATGTAACAAAGATAAATTTTACAAACAAAATTTATTTTTTTTAATGCAGCAGCACACTTGCACTATATGTCAAATTAAGTATGAAGCTCTTCCGAGGGGGGGGGGGTAAATAAGTAAAGATTGGAACTCCTATCAGTAGCGCAGGAACTTTTTTCTCATAAACAATAAAAAATATTGTAAATTTTTAAGTGTTATATATCGTAATATAGTTGGAAGTTGGGAATCGTTTTGTATCTGTTTTTAAACATTAAGTTTTTTTGGCTTTAAAGGGAGTGACTTGCTGGACGTGGTAGTTGCTGGCTGTAAAACAACTAGCGAAATATTACAATTGACTTATTTAAAAATTGTACATCGTAAAAACGTCTTATTGGTATCAAATGAATCCTAAAGTGTTTCTCGACAATACTGCACTTTCAGTTCAACTACCATGTCTATCATTCCAGTCTCTCCCTTTAATGAGGTTCCAAATAATATGATAATTTAACAGATTTGAAAACTGTATTCTCTACAAGTTTTTTTTATGAAATAATGATAACCATTAAACTCTGGAAGACACTTTTACACTCAAGTTATGACTTCAAAAATTTATTGAACATGAGTCACAGCAGTTGTGCAGTCTAATCCTAAGAAGAGTTTAAAAAAGTTTCTTGTAAAACAAGTTGGTTTGGAACATCATAAACTTAATTATTACTTAAATGTCGTCTTCCCATTACATAGTATTCTGGTTCTTACTTTACACTTACTAACTATAATCCCTGAATATTGAACCAACTTATCGTTTTCACTAAAGTGAATCTGCATAATTAGAACGCTTATCTAGTTGGGTTCATACAATAGGGAATATATCATGATAAAACCGAAATAAATTAAACCATGGTGGGGGGGGGGGGGCATAAGCCAAAACTAGAAATATGTTAAGTTTCGTTAATATTTCTATTCAATAATTTATACATTAAATAAAAATTATCTTTTGGTGTTCTTCTTTCATCTTTTTGTTAATTTTAAATTTACAAATAGATTAAATCAAACTTTGTTGTCAATCTTAAATTTACCTACACGACTGGGACCTCAGATGACCCTGCAGCAGGGAATGGATGTTTCGAATTACAAAAATTTGTCGCCAAAAAGTTTTATATTTCGTAACATTTGGAAATCCACAAAAACAAAATAGTAAATCCGCAAAAAAAAATTTATTTTTGTTATATCGAAGAGATGCTGAAAGTTGAAATAGAATATGGGCACGAAACACCCTTATAGTCTAGTAACTTAAGTCTCTCCAATATGGAAAAATTCAAAAATAAAACTAAACAAATTTTTTGAAATAAAAATCCATCACACATTAAAAGTTTAAATTTTGTTTAAAATTGAAAATAAAATTGTAAACGTAACTTAAATGGAAGAACGTTAAATTTTCTAACTTAAATTAGAAGATTTTCATATATTTTCTTGCTTTTTAAATCCGTCAGCTTGCTTGTAAAGATTTTGACTGGATCATATAACTGTCTCAAGCAATTTGCAGAAATATTTAGTTTTAAACAATTTAAATTGCAAGTTTTGACCAAGCAATTACACATTTTATAAACCATTTCAACTGACCCCTGATACTTGTAACTAAAAATAATATAAGGAACTTTCATAAGTTATTGTGTAATGCAGAATGGCAAGTGCAATTCAATGCTAATGTGTTTTTCATTCGGTAGTAAATAGGGTACCGTTGTGAATCTATATATAAGGTTTATCTGTATATTTTATGTCCGAATTTTCGTAATAATGTTTTCAAACATAATTACCCTGGGTATGCTTTGTAGGATTTTTTAATATAAAAATACAAATATTCTTCAACATTTTTGTAGAAAATCATATAAATTCTTGTCCTCTAATTTATTCTGATCTTGATCCAATATCTATAAATTTGCTATTGAACAAAGTTTGATAAATATTTAATTTTTCATTTTTATAATGGAGGACGGTCTCTCAATCTTTTCTTTCTTAAACCTTTCTTTTCTGACCAACCCCCTCCCCCCTTCCACCCCCTCCTCAAACTACTTCTTTCTTTTTATTATATTTGTCTTTCTTATCATTTTCTAACCTTGGAGTTTAGTCGTATTCTTCCAAAATATTCCTTTTCCTTTTATCAGACCTCCCCTAAACTTCCCTTATCGATATCACTCTTCTCTACTCCCTCCCCTTTCCTTCCCCGTTTTTCATCCTTCCCCTTCATCTGACCTTATCCATTTCCTTATCCTTTCCCTTTCATTATCCTTTCAATCTCCTCATACTTCTCCTTCCTCTAACCTTCCTCATTTTTTTATCCTTCCCCTTTCATTATATTTTCCCTCTCCTCATGCTTCCCCTTTCCTTATCCTTCCCCTTTTCTTTATCCTTCCCCTTTCCTTATCCTTCCCCTTCCATTATACTTCCCCTTTCCTTATACTTCCCCTTTTTTTCCTGTCTCTTACTTTATCTTTCCACTTTTATTATACTTTATTTCTATCTATCTATCGGTCTATCCATCAATCCTAAGTTTGCCTACTGTAAACTTGAATAGAATTGTATATATTGGATTCCTATTCCACTGCTTTTAAACATGATACAGTTGATTGAAATGATGCCATATCATCTGTCCTACAGTCATTTGTTCAACATATAAATTGTAGCAAATGAGCAGGTCAAAGAAAATGCCATTTTGCTTTCCTTTCTGTGTTTAATTATTGTTGGACATGTTACCCACAGTTTCTATGTGTCCCCAATATACAAATGTCCAAAATTAATGATCAAGAACCATTGATGTTTATAGTATCTACTTTAAGTTTAAGTATTGGTTCATATCCATCTGGGGCGTTTCATGCATTGTTTCATAATTTTTGAATTTTGTTCAAATTGAGGCAGGGTCAAATGTGACATTTTTTATTTTTGTTACATCTCTTTATGTTTTACGTCTTAGATAATTTTCTGCAAACAAACAAAAAATCTTGACGCTCTTCTATATATGCATAATTTTTATTACCTGGCAGCCCAATGAAGAGGTGTATTTCCGGCGCAGTCTGGTTGATTGGCCGGTATCTTGTTTAGCAAACATTCCTCCACCATTGCCACGTTCCCGCGCATTGCCGCGTCATGAAGTGGACTTGTAACTCCGCCATTGGTGGCGTCTTCTAACATATTGCTTGGCACAAGTCCTTCTACACCTCGACATCTTAACATAAACATTATTAGATATTTAAATTAATTAATTCATCTTTCTTTCAAATACTATTTAATCAAAATTATCTTTTGTAGAAAAAACTTGGATTTAAAAATTTATCGTACACCATCCATTTCATCAAATGTAGTTTAAAGCAATTTCAAGGTCTATAAAGTATGTGGGTTATTAACTAAAATTAAGATATCAAAGCACTAGATTAGAACTAGAAATAAATGTTGGTTATAGATATAAATATATTTTACAGTTTAATTAAAATTTTGTTTTCACAAAATATGTACAATTTACATGTTTATATTATATGCATATCATTTATAAAAATTACAATTTACTTTCATGCTTAAAGGGTTTTTGCGCATTTCTTGCTTAATATAAGAAGCAATCGAGAAATATCTGATCTCAACAGTTTTTAAGTCAGAAAAACGACTTATTCTTCCACATTTTTGATCTGATTAGGGTTGAAAGGGTATTGTCGTGAATCGGACCCGTTGCCATCTTTGAATGGAGGGTCACTTGAATTTGCGCGTACAGTCCCTTTAAGCAAGTTGTGAAAAGAATTTTTATTTGCTGTATATGGAAAAATAAAACAGCATTTGTTGGGCTAAGAAGTTTTGTTGAATCAAGTCTATACAATTGCTTATGATAGCAGCTAAAGAGAAAATTATAATATTTTAACAATAAACATTAATTCTAGTAACCCATATCTAATTTTAATCTACGATATATACGTATTAACAACACTGAGTTCAATAAACTCAGAATTGACAGCGAAAAGTTATTTTAAGCGTTTTTTTATCAAAAACTTATTCTGTCTCAATATTTTAACGTTTTAACGCATCTTCTTTTAACTAAAAAACATTATTTTACGTAATCAATTCATTTCATTAATAATTGATTTAGTTTAGTGAATAGTTGATGCAATTTATTCGAAAATTATTTAATTTGATAAGTTTTCGTTTTTTAGTTTTATAAGCTATTAATCAATTTATAATTTTGTTTGATAAAACAAATATTCACCTTGCTCTCCACCAGTCAGGGTCATTTGAGTTCAAAATATATAGTACATCTCCCTCGTTGAAACTAAAGGATTATGTTTATTGTTTTTTTTTGTTCTTACTTTTATTATTTCTAATATTTTTAATATTTTTCTTATTATTATTAATATTGAATATAATTAACAATACATAGATATAGGTTTTCATTCTTTCCTAGGCTTATACCATACAATAAATATTAATAATATTCTAAACTTTTTTTATGCTGTTCTTAATCCTCTGTTTCTTCAATTGTGGTTTAGCAGTACAATGTGATAAGGTCATTATTTGAATGGTGGTCCAATTTAATTAGTTTCTGTTTAAAGGGACTGTACACCTAATTTCAAGTGAACCACCAATTGAAGAGTGGCATGTCCGATTTAAAATGGTACTTAGAGGGAATTTAAAGGAAAAATGAAACGGTGTATAGGCTGAAAGCTACCCATGAAAGTTATATCTGATGTTCCTGTCTCGAGAAATTGATATAAAACTGTGTCAAATCTATACGAAATTTCATATATATATATATAATTTTGAATAGAAATAGTAGGTTTAACCAGATCCTATTAATAAGTTCCTCCTTTTATATTACAGTACACTTTTATTGGGATTAAAACTATAGGGTTACTGATTTTTTTTCTTCTTTGATAAAAACCGATGTTTTTTTCCTCTGTATGAAATCTGAATTATTATGAATATTTTGTTTCTTCATGCATTGAAGCTTTAATTCATAATTATAAACAACAAATTGTTTAATATGCAGGAATTGATTACTCGACACAAACTCTGATTAGTTCTTTGAAAATGAATTCAATAAATGTGAAACTAACATCTACTTTTTTACTCTACAGAGGTTTGGTCCATCACCATCACTGAATTTTAAATAAAATGTTCAAGTTTCCTTGAAATTCTACATTCTTTTAATCATAACTGCTTCTATTAAAAAAAAAACTATTAAAAAGAACAAACGTGTTTTCTAATACAATCTAATTTCTAATACAAGCTATTTGTTTTATATACAATGCACTTAAAACGACTTTTTCCGCTAAGTGTCTCTTTTATCATAATATTATAAAATATTAACTATATACGAATGTGTCGACAAATAATCGATTACTATTGTTTTTAATACCTGAATGATCTGTTTGAAATTTAATTAATTTTTTTACATTCCGAGTCGTATATTGCTCTTTCTGAATTTGTATGGACGCTATGTTCTTCATTCAGTATATAAGTCGTTTTTAACAAATAACTCCTTATAGATGCAACAGATAGAAGCAAGATTAGTAGCGATCAAAAGCGATTATTCTTCGCCGTGAGCCTATTCCTCTTTCATTTTTCGCGATTAAAACTAGATAAACTACGAGGTAACAAAGCTGTACCATTAGTGTTACCTTTTCCTTGCTTACTATAGTTGAGTGTGCATAGATGGTCATGTAAACCTTTGATATTTCAATTTTTAAATTATGATTTCTGCTAATCAAATGTTTACGCCATCGGGTTGCAGAGATAAAAAGGAAGAGGTGTGTGCTCTGTTCTTTTATAGTTACTTAGTTGCAGATATAGGAGATTTGGATATCTGATTTTCCATTATTAACAATATTTATGACTTATTTATAGCCCGCTAAAATGTTTAGCGCATTTTCTGTTTGTAATGTTCATTGTTTATAGTGCACTGACCTTAATTCATCATTTTCCCTTGCTTTGTACTCAAATGCAGCCTAAAATAGCAATTAGAAGAGACAAAGAAAACAACGAAATAAATTAATAAAACCATGAATTAAGTATTTAAAAATTCAGTATTTAATGTAAAGAAGTTTTTGTGGCAAACACTGATTTTTTAATCCCTATATATTTGCAACCAAATGTCGTTGATATTTCAAAGTATGAATAATCTAAGCTTTAAATGTCAAAGGTTTACACCATCAGGTTGCGAAGATAAAGGGATAAGAAAATTTGATTTTGTGGCAAAACCTGAAAAACTGAAATATTGGTATCGATTTTGTTATCTACATTTCATATAAACAAACTGATTTTAACTCTTCTGAGCTGGGAACTTTTGAATAGTGGATATCGGGATTAATGCTTGATCCACTCTTTTTCTTAATCTGGAGATTAAATAATGCTTGTTCTCCTCTCATTTTTAATCTCCAGATTAATTTACCGATCGGGATTAAGGATATCCCATTCTAAAGTTTTCAGCTCTGTTTAGATATGTTAGTTATAATTAAGCACAAATTATAAAATCCTTGATAAAATGTTACAGCAACTATGGAAAGATCGAATTACAATTTAGATTGAATTTTTTATAAATATAAAATAAGGTCTGTAATCTGTATCATTGCAAATGTCTAATTAGGTTGTAAAACTGTCTTTAATGTTTTCCAGCTGCACATATGGTTTTCTTCATCAAATATCTTTAATAATGCTCAAAAACTTTGATGAGAGCTAATGTGGTAAAATTGCATGAATGTTAACGGCACAACGGCTCGTGCTGTAATATTTTATATCTTACCCGCATTATTTTTACATTTCTTGGTTTAGGTGCAGGCTTTGGTGGAAGAGCAGACATTTTTCAATCTGCAGATTTTATTTACAAATATAAGGCCCGTAACAAGGGGGGGCAAAGGGGCCCATGCAGAAGGGTGGGG